GGTTTCTGGGCTGGTAGGCTGTCAAAAGCCAAGCCTCTAATGGTCTCATATGTAGCTGAGCATGGGGAACTATGAACGTGGCCGCTGCCATATGTCCCAGTATTTGTAGGCATAGTCATGCTGTTATGATCAGGCTGGTCTGTGCCGTTGCTATCAGGTCTTTGATAGTGACCATTTGTAGTGAGGTAAGTAGGCTCTGGCCTTTATGCAGTCTAGATGTGCTCCTATGAACTCCAGTGTTTGAGTTGGGGTCAAAATGCACCTTGCAGTGTTTATCTGTAGCCCGAGAGTGTCAACGATAATTGAGATCATGTGCTGTATGTCCTGCTGTGTGTGGGTTGTTAGTAGATAATTGTTTAAGTATGGAAATATTGAAATCCTGTTTTTGTGCAAATGTGCGGCCACTACTGCCAGTATCTTTGAGAATACTCTTGGGGCTGTTGACAGTCCGAACGGTACTACTCTATACTAGAAGTGTCTGACTTTTATTATAAAACAGAGGAACCTCCTGTGTGCTGGATATATTGATATGTGGAAGAAAGCATCCTGGAAGTCGAGGGTAGACAACCATGCTCTTTTTTCCAAGGCGGGTATGATGGTGGTAAGAATGACCATCTTGAATCATTGGTATCTGACAAAACGGTTGAGCTTGCGGAGGTCTATTATTGGTCTCCAGCCACCCGACTTTTTGGTGGTGAGAAAATAGTGTAAGAGTAAAACTGCTTGCCCCTGTGTTGTTCTGGTACTTCTTCTATGGCGCCGAGGCTTAGGAAATGTTCTGCCTCATGTAGACATAATATCTTGTGAGAGGGGTCCCTGAAAAGGGACGGGGAAGGGGTGGGGTGGGGAAATGGCTATGAATGGGATGCAGTATCCTGTTTTCACAATTTCCAACACCCACTTGTCGGTGGTAATGGTCAACAAGGCTGGATAAAAGTTGGTTAGTCTGTTGCCAAATACTGTGAATGATGTGGATTGCTGCCTCGGAAATTTTGGGGTTGTCAGACTGTTGACCAGGACTTCAAAACTGTTGCCTGGATGTTGATGGTGTTGAGAAGAGGATTGGTCTGAGGGCTGTCTCCGTCTGTTTGCCTTAGTCAGCATATATTCTCATATTGTCATTGTTGTTGATTAAATGGTGTATGTCTATATATTTGGTGGAATGATCTGTTTTGCTTTCTCTTTGTAATAGGTACCCAAATGCCTAAAGTCCTGAGAGTGGCCCTTGAGTCCTTCAAGGTATGTAGAAAGGTGTTTGTGGACTCTGCAAAGAGCTTCATACCTTCAAATGGGAGGTCCTCTACGGTGGACTGGACTTCTCTGGGAAAACCCAAAAGTTGAAGCCAGAAAGCTTGTCTCATTACCATGACTAAGCAAGAGATCTGGCTGCTGTGTCTGCTGAGTCAAGCGCTGCCCGTAGGGCTGTACGGGATATTAATATGCCCTTTTCGGTATTTGCTTTAACTCTTCTCTTTTATTGTCTGGGAGTGAGTCAATAAAAGGTGTTAATTGGTCAAAGATCTGATGTGTGTATTTTGCTAATAATGCAGTATAGTCAGCAATTCTTATTTGCAGGCTTGCTGATGAATATGCCTTTTCCCCCCACTGCGTCCAGCCTCTTCTAATCCTTATCATATGGAGTTATTTGTGTAGCTTGTTCATGGCTTCTACTACAAGGGAATTTAGTGCCGGGTGGGAAGATAGAAATTCTGCCTCTTTGGGAGCAGCATTGTACTTTCTGTCCACTTGTTTTGATGTTGGGGGGATTGTGGCTGACATGTGCCATATATTCTTGGCGGGGTCCATGAGTGCCTCATTCATGTGGATGCCCAATTTTGCATGGAAAGATGCATGTAGAATGTTTGTAAGTTTGGTTGAGTCTGTGGCATGTCTAAAAGAGTTGTCAGTCACTCTCTTGAAAAGATCTTGGAACGACTTAAAATCATGCCCCATAGCTGATGGTGGGGGTATGATCATATCATTTGGGGATGTGGATGGGTTACGTGTGGGTGGAGAAGAGGGTGATTCCTGTTCTTTCCCCATAAAGTATACATCTTGTTCATCTGAGTCCGAGCTGTATTGTTCTATGGCCTGCCTCATTGGTGCCTGGGACTTTGGTGTTGGATGTGTCTGCTGCAACTGTGCAAACTGTTGTTGTCTGCAAGCCGCCCAGAGGTCCCAGTATGGCCAGTTAGGCATGACCAGGGGTGGGAGCCACTGTGGGAGTTGCCATTGCTGACTTTGTTGTTGTAACCTATGGGAAGTGTGTCGTGTTAATCGTGGCGGTTTGGACACTACATCCTCATTGTCACTGAGTAACAAGGCAACTGAGCTAACAGGCGTGGGTGAGAATGAGCACAGTGAGATATTCAGGGTACCACTAGTGCTGAGGAGAGGTGACCCTGCTACCGAGTTGACTGAGAGCTTCGGTGCTATTGTAAAATGTGGAAGTGGCAGAAGAGCAGGTAGCAGCAGGGGTCAGGAGGCATGTGGACTATGCAGCGGCATTAAAGGGAACGCCAACTGTTTTGCATGTGAGCGCGGTGCCCGGTAGGTTTGTGCTTCCAGTGGTGTGTCTTCTGTTAAGTTGCTCACACTCGGTGCCGTCTGCAAGCAGTTTTTTTTCTGAGTGGAGGAAGGTGCCATGGACGTTTGAGTCGGTGCCTCCACTGAGGCTTTGCATTTTGCCTTTGGTGGTGTCTTCTCTGAGGTATGTTGTGAATGTCTCAGATTCCGGCTTTTTTCCTTGCCGGTCCCGCTTGCATGCTGCTTATCAGATTGAGGTTGTGGCATTTTTGTGGGGAGTCCCTGAGGAAGTATAGGACCTTTTCTTAGTCTTGTTGTTTTCCCAGTCCTTTAGGCTCGACTGTGTATAAGCCACTGCCTCCGACTCAGTCCCAGGTGATATGTGTCTGGGAGGAGTAGATTGCTCAAGGTCGGAAGGTGACCGAGACTTTTTCTCAATCCATAGCACTATGAGTTGTAGCTATCTGAATCTCCTGGATCGGTTTGTAAGTTTCTGACAGTGTGTGCAATGTTTTGAGGAGTACTGTTCACCCAGACAGTAAACACACTCCACGTGCCTATCAGAAATTGAGAAGGATAGCCTGCAGCTTAAACGCTTTTTAAGCGCAGGGTAAGTATGCGGCTTCATGCGCTTGTCCAGCGGTGGGTTTTTTTGGATGACTAATAAGAGGAGTCGAATAGGAAGGGTTTCTGAGGTAAAGTATAGGTAAGTAAATAGGTAATAAATAAGGTAAAGGGAGACTGCTGATCAGCGACCGCAGATGCTGGCGGCTGAGAAGGAACTAAGAGGGGATGACCAGCTGCCCATGAACAATAGCCTCCTTAGAACATACACTGACTCCTCACGCGTGCTGCCAGTCATGGGACACTGCTGGCACAAATCTCCGACTGAGGGGCTCAGAGGCTCTGAAGCACTTAAGGTAGAGCACCCACGGGGACACTCCTTGAAGAAGAAGAATTGGGTTTGTTTAGTGTAGACCAGTGTTTCCGAAATGGTGTTCCGTGGAACCCTGGGTTCCGTGACGTGAAAATAAGGGTTCAGCGAGACAATTCCATTACAACCTGAATTATTGTAATGGAATGGAATTTTCATTCGTTTATGAATTTTATTGAAAACAATTTTCATTTGTGTTTGCCATGATAAGTGTCCCTGTGTAATGCCAGCTTAGTCAGAGAGTGGGGACAATGATGTCAATACCCAGTGCTGTGCGCGCAGTCAGTCAGGGGCTCCACAAAATTCTTTCGAGTTCAGAAGAGTTCCGCGGCCAAATAAAATTGGGAAACTCTGGTTTAGAAAAGAGAAGTCTGAAAAGGGGAAATTATAGCAACTTTCAAGTATTTAAAAGGGTGTTACAAGGAGGAAGGAGAAAAATTATTCACCTTGACCTCTGATGATAGGACAAGAAGCAATGGTCTTACATTGCAGCAAATGAGGTTTCATTTGGACATTAGCAGGGGAACAATTTCAGATTTTCGTAGTAGGGGGGCTGATCTATGCATGCATTGATGGGGGGAGGGAACGTGAGAGCATGGGGCAGGCAGACTGAGGTCTGCAGCTTCAGCAGTGTTACTGAGCATGCTCAGTACAAGTCAAACAGCAAATTGGGAGTGGGGACCGATTCTATTCACTCTCCCCCTACATACATATGGGAAAAGTGAATAGAACCCTAATTTTTTGGCAGATAACTTAGCAATTAACTGATAGGAACACTGTATCTAATTCCTATATAAAAGTAATAAAATTTAAATAAATATTAGATCCACTCAGCTCTGACATCTTGTGGCAAGTCACTTAGGGGACACTGGTTAGTATTACAATTTTAATATATATTCTTACTTTTTTACTAACTGCAGAGAGAGAGAGAGAGAGAGAGAGAGAGAGAGAGACTGTCAGAACTCCTGGGCTCTATCTCCGCTCTAGAAGTGGAGTGGGAGACAGTGGGTTACAGATGGGTGCAGATACATTTCAGCTCTGTATAAGATCAGAATGGCCATACTGAATCAGACCGATGGTCCATCTACCCCAGTATCCTGTCTTCCAGTAGTGGCCAATCCCAGGTGCTTCAGAAGGAATGAACTGAATAGGCATTCATCAAATGATCCATTCCCTTTTGCCCATTTCCAGCTTCTGGCAAACAGAAGTTAGGGACACCATCCCTGCCTAATAAGCTTTGGACCTAACTATTTTGAGTAGTCTTGTAGTATCTGCAAATTTTGCCACCTCATATTTATCCCTTTTTCAAGAACATTTATAAGTTTAACGGTACTGGTCCAAATTCAAAACCCAGCAGCACAACACGCATTGCTACTCCTTTTTACCCTTATATTTTAAGTAATTGGCAATGTTTTTATGATGATCTAACAATCCTTCAATTACGTGAATGACCAGTTTTATGTTATTCTTAATTGCCTGCTTCCCTCATTTTATAACAAACTCCCTGTCCCAAAGGCAAAACTGCAAACACCTCAAACTCTGTTGCATTTAACAACTGCGTCTGGAGCAAGGTGCAGCTTTAAACAGACCTCAAATATGAAATCCAAGGGTTCAAACTTTAGAGGATCTGTTTAAAGATGGTTCCCTTGCCTAGGAAAAACTTCCTGTCACATGATTAAGCAAATCAGCAAGGGTGGTTAAGTACTGGAATAAATTGCTTAGAGAGGTTGTGGAATTTCCATCAATGTAGCTATTAAAGAGCAGGTTAGACAGACGTCTCTTAGGGATGATCTAGTCAGTGCTTGGTTCTGCAGTGAGGGCAGGGGACAACTTGATGATTTCTCAAGGTTTCTGAACATTTGAATGTTATTAGGTTTTGTTTTATTTTTTAGTCTAAGAAATAACAAATAGGAGAAATCAACTAAAAGCCACGTTCCTATCCATATTTCTGTCTAAAGTGTGGAGAAATGTAACCCTAGAACAAATGTCACTGTATTTTATTGCAAGTTCTCTCTGACAAAATTTCGTTCAGTTTTTGAACTCATCATTTCACTATTACTAAACTGCT